AATAGCTTCTGTCACTAAAAATTTAGAAGTAAAACTCTGAGAGCTATACTTACCAGGAAAGACTTTGGGGAACTTTAATATCAGGTCCAGCACACGTTGCTGAGAATCCTGAACTCTCCTCTTTCTTGTGTGAGAATGAGAAACATGGCACCAGGGGTACTAGACTCACACTTCAAAGCTTCCTGCCACACCCTCAGTATATCTTCCTCTGCAAACCCACAGGCTATTGCCATGTGGAAGTGTTCCCGAGTAACTATTGAAAGGATTTTCTCATCTTCTCTGATCCCTTCCTGAGTTTGGAGGGAGAAAATTGGGCTCATGACCCCCACAGTGCCCTCTGTAAAGTGGTATCTGCTGTTTATTGAAAGAGAAGCTCAGCATTTGGGTAATTTTTCCTGTTGATTCCATATGGATGATCTATAGCAGGGGTGGGGAACGTCCGGCCCAAGAGCCATATAAGGCCCGTGAAATCATTTGGGCTAGCCCTGCCAATGCATTAGGGGTGAGTTAATTAAATGTTTGACCAAATATATCAGGCTAATTTTTAAGTTGATAATTTTGAATGGCCCACAACTGATGTTATAAATATCCAAATGGCCCTTGGCAGAAAAAAAGATTCCCCACTATTCTAGTCTATAGAATAAAAATTCCAAAGTTCTTTTCTTGCTTTCCTGATAAGGACTGCTGGTCCTGTTGTAGTCTTAAGGAAAATATAGTTGTGTCCCCTTCAGTACACTACAGTGCCCTCAGATGCAGGACCCAGGCATCTCTGTGTAATGAAAGAAAGGGTACAGTACCATTGGCCAGCTGCTGAAGGAATCCATGCTCTCTCTGCCCCACTCTCCTCCCACACTAGTGCGAGAGGGAGAGTTTTGAATCAGTGTTCAGAGGCTTCTAGTATTGCCCGACTCCAGTTCCTTCAGATCAGCACAGATAAAGCGATTATGAATTATGTGTCTTGAGCAGAAAAAGAAGAGGCAGTGAGTGTATGAACCAGATTTATAAGCTATTGAAAAAACACAGAATATGCTATGAGTAAACCCAGTCATGGAATTTGTAGTAGAGAATAGATGTGACACTGTTAAACTGGGCTTTACTTCTCGCCCTGTCCCCACAATATTGGTAATATTGTTTGAAAAAAATTAATACAGAAAAATCCAGGAAATAATATAATATTCCCATTTACCCACTGCTCAGAGTTTACAAAGTTGACTTATTTTTTTTAGCATATTTGGTTCAAATATTTGTAATAAATAAAATGTTACCAATAAAGTTCAAGTTTGAAACACCCTTGTTTCCTTTCTCTTGTCAGCCTTCCTAGAGACAACCATTATGAATTTGGTGTGTATCCTTTTAGTCCATGATTTTATGCATTTATGATATATATTATATATGACATATACAAATCCATAATATTGATTTGTTCATGTTTTAAAATTTGTGAAAGTGGAATCACTTTCTTCTTTTCTTCCTTCTGTCACTTGACATTGTAATGATTTAGTATAACTTGCTTAGTTATATTGTGATTTTTAGTGTATTTGGACCTTTTCTAATGACTTATTTTGTGGTTTCTGTTTATCATATATTTTTCCTTGCTTTGTTTTTTTCTTCCTTGCCTTTTATTTGTAAAATTTGCTTATTTTCACTTCTCCTGACTTGTAAGTTTATAGATCCTATTTCTTGTCTTAAAAATGTTAATGACTGTCTTTAAATTTTATTTTAACAAAGCCTAAAATTGTTCTGTCATTATTGTCCTTGAGAACAAAACCAAGGCCTTTGACTTCTGATCTATTCTACTCTCCTCTTTTGTGGTGGTTATTGTCTAGAACTGTGCTGTCCATTATGGTAGCCAGTAGCTTTATGAGGCTATTAACCACATAAAAAAATAAGCTCAGTTTTTAAAACTTTATTTTTAATCTATTTAAATTTAAAAAACTGATATTAGATTCAGTTATTGGAAATTGTAATATGTTTGAAACAACCTGGATATGTAAAATCACTATAAACTTTATGAACTTTAAATACATAAATAGGTGTTCCTGGTGAAAACTTAGCACTTGAATGAAGATGTGTTATGAGTATAAAATACATGTCAGATTTTGAAGATTTAGTACAGAAAAGTTTGTGTAATATTTCAAAATTTGTATATTGATTACACATTGAAGTGATAAAATTTTAGATATATTTAGTTAAATAAAATATTGAATTAATTTCATCTACTTTTTATTTTTTCAATGTGGCTATTAGAAAATTCAGAATTATATATTTCTATAGGACAGCACTGATCTAGGATTCTACTGAAACTTTTAAGCTGATGTCCTGACCTGCATTCATAGCACAGTACCACACTAATCCCAGGGTAAAGATCAGTTGGGTTGTTCCTGACTGTAAATTTGTTACCTGCTTGTTAGTACAGTGGTTCTCAACCTTCCTAATGCCACGACCCTTTAATATAGTTCCTCATGTTGTGGTGACCCCCAACCATAAAATTATTTTCGTTGCTACTTCATAACTGTAATTTTGCTACTGTTATGAATCATAATGTAAATATCTGATATACAGGATGTATTTTCATTGTTACAAATTGAACATAATTAAAGCATAGTGATTAATCACAAAAACAATTTGTAATTATCTATGTGTTTTCCGATGGTCTTAGGCGACCCCTGTGAAAGGGTCGTTCGACCCCCAAAGGGATCACTACCCACGGGTTGAGAACCGCTGTGTTAGTAGAAAGCACTTGTGGAGAGATTGCCAGAGAAACCAGCTTTGCCTAGAGTTGTAGTTCTTCACATGTCTAGTCTTATGTTCATTCATCTGAAGGCATTAATATTTTCAATTACACCTGTTTTTTTAATGTGGCATCTTTTCAAGTTTCTCTTTTTCAGTAACTTACATCCAATTCAAACATTATTAGGTCAGTGTTTAGAGAGTGATCTCTCAGTCACATTGCTGTCACTAATCTGCTTAGAAAAATATTGAAAATAATGTCATTTAATCATTTTTTGTTTTTTAATGTCATTTAACATCAATAGCTATGTGCTGCTTCTTTAAATGCCTATCAGTAACAGGTAGAAGAACCCCAGATTTAAATCTACCTAGTGGCCTGACAGGTATAGGGGCAGTCCAGCACTCCTTGACAACAGAGGGTCTGGTTTTTGACCAGAAGGGTCGAGTTTGTGAAGTGAGCCAAGGATGTGAGCATAGCTGAATAGCCGTCTGGGGATTGTCTTCATGTGTTCAGACTTGCCCTCCCTAACTCGGCTGACTGATGTAACACTAGATCTGTGAACCAGACAATCCTGTGCAAGAGAGTGGAGAACAGAAAAGGGAGGCTCAGTTTCCCTTTATGATAGAGGAGGTCCCTTGGAGGAGGGGAAAAAGTACATTGATTTGGGAAACAGAAGAGAACTCCATAGGTCTACAGAGCTCTAGAGAGAGGTTGAACTACTGGGTAACAGGAAACCCTAGGAAGAAAGAAGATTTACTAGGTCCTTTGACTTGAAGAAAAGCTTTTGTCTTTTTCAAAGACTTTATATACTTCTGACCTATGTTTTATACAGTATTTTGTGTTTAAATTTAGCATTATTTTATGTGTTCTTTCTATGTAGTCACATAGTCTAAATGTTTTAATCTCATTGCATTCATAGTTACATAGTGTATTTAAACATTTCCAGTAAGTCGTTTCCAGTTATTCCATATTAGAAAAAATACAAATAAAACCATATTTTTTTCAGAGTCTTTCTTTGAGTCCTGGTTCTAAAATTGGAATTATTGGGTTATTATATGATTAGTTGTATGTATCTTTTTCATATTCCCAGTTGTTCTTTGAAAATATTATATTAATTTATAGTGTCTCCTGCCCCACCAAACAGTGGGTTTTATGATCTTATTTTTCCCCCCTCATATTAGATAAGGCATTAGCTGCTTTATTTTGCTAAGCCAAACGTTGTGCCAAACATTGGTTTGCTATTTGTATTTTTTTCTAATGGGAACTCTATTCATATCTTAAATAGTTTAATTTTCTGATTGTTTTAATCTTATTGTCTTAGCCAATAAAAATATATTGGGGTATATAAAAATATATTGGGGTAGTTCGTATGTCATGTAATCTAACTATACTTTCCCCGTTGTATGCAAGCCTATAAAAGAAGCAGGTTTTAACTGTCACAAGAGTGGGTAGGTGCTGCACAGGGCTGGATTAAAATCAGGGAACAAATCAGCTCGGGTGGCAGGGCTCTTGGCTGTCCTGTGAAGCTGGGAGTGTGGTAGAGATGCTGGAGTTGATAATGGAAAAATAGTAACCCTTTTTAAAATTTATTTTTATTGATTTCAGAGAAGAAAGGAGAGGGAGAGAGAGATAGAAACATCAATGATGAGAGAGAGTCATTAATCAGCTGCCTCCTGCAGGCCCCTTCCTGGGGATGGAGACTGCAACCCAGGCATGTGCCCTGACTGGATTAGAACCTGGGACCTTTCAGTCCGCAGGCCGACTCTCTATCCACTGAGCCAAACCGGCTAGGGCAAAAAATAGTGATATTCTATAAAAATAATGAGTATCAAGTCAAGTGATATCAAGAAATGGGCTAGAAATCAAAGCGAGACATCCTGCCCTCATCTCAGAGAATCAAAGCAACTGGAACATGCAGGTGGATCACAGGCACCCCTGCCACTGACTACTGGGTTTCTGTTCTTTAACTCACAAGAATGAAAACTGCTTAGTATGAATGTACATTGAGAACAGGGACTCATATCAATTCTTGCACCACTCCTCGTTTAAAAATGAGAGCAGTTTTGCAGTGTGTGTGTGTGTGTGTGTGTGTGTGTGTGTGGTGTGTGTGTGTAAACAACATATTCTCTTATAAACTTACTTTTTCCCCCACAAGATATCTGTTGGTATATGTGGTCCAGAGAAATTAAATAGCTTAAAAAAAAAAAAAACTCCCTCTAATGTGTGTTTCCCAATTTAAATACAATTTACTGAAATATTTTCTTTCTAGTCTCCAGAGAATACAGAGGGCAAGGATGGATCCAAAATAACTAAACAGGAGGTAAGTGTATCTTTGACATCCTGTATTCAGTTATGTAACTGGAATTTTTAATATTGTTATGATTGTCTGCATCTGAATGAATACTATTCCTGTACAAGGTTGTTGAGACTACATAAGCCAGAGAGTGTCACTGTGTAGTCTCCCTTGGCCTAGGTATATTTCAGTCGGGTTCACAGATGAGTCATTTTCCACTTACTGTGTTGCTTATGTTTCTACCTGTGGGTCCTGCTGTCTTATTAAAGCAGATACTGAGAATTCCTTCTGGGCAAAAATCGAGATAATAGGTAATTTCATCTAGGAGAACAAAGTCTGCCTTTCACAGCAAGGAAATCAAAGACTGTTGATTTAATAAATTCTCTGCTCCAGTGAGTGAATTATATATTACTTTTTAGGTTCTGAAATTTGCCTAAGGAGTCATGTCTAAAGCCAGAAGCTATGGAAGGATACACAAGATGTCAAAATACTAAAGTTGGGTTTTTTAAATCAGAAAAAGTCTTAGGGCTTAGGATAGTTAATTAGGCAATAATTCTAAGAAGCTCTGTATTAATATACAGAAACCTCCAAACAGCGAGGATCTTGGAAGAGATGCTTGCATTTGACCCGCTGTGGTAATATCATGAACTTCTAAAGGAGACGGATGAAAAAGTAGCAAGTGAGATGGTAACTATGGTGACAGTCATTCATTTTTGCACAGAGTTTGCAGTGAACTTATAAACTAAAATGGGTCGTGAGATAGATAAAAACAATGTCTAGTTACAGATTCTTTGATTGGGTGGTTCATATTGAGGATAATAATCCAGAAGAGTTTATCGTGGTAGTAAAATCCCTACAGAGGATTTGTACAAAGAAATTCATTCTGCCAAGTGGAAAACCTTTAACAGAATCTATAAAGAAATAATTTAAAAGCAAAGCAAAACTGCCTATAACCACATCCCCACCATCCACCTACCGAGCATTCAGTCTAACAGTTTGAGAGGTGAAGTTTGTGATCCAAAATCAAGTCACTATACTAATGTTAGAACCAACCAAAAATTATGAATGTTTGAACTTTCTTGAAAATATAATTTGTAAGACAGTTGGCTACGTGTAACGAACGTTAATGATTTTTAGATTTGGGCATGAAATGCATTTGGGTTTCTCCCTAGGGATTGCTATTGAAATTGATCTGTCAGTCAGAAAATCTAGAAAGCACTGCACACAATAGATCTTGGATAGTGAAAACAGTCTTTCCGATCCTTCTTCACTAAAAGCAATAGAGCTGCTTAGAATACGTGTAAAAGAATTTTGCTTCTACAGCTGTCTCATACATCTTGTTTTGGCCCTGGGATTTTTATTATTTATATTACAGGCACACCTCACTTTGTGATTCACTTTATTGTGCTTTGCAGATCTTGCATATTTTACAAATTGAAGGTTTATGGCAACTGTTGAAGGCTCAGATGGTGTTAGGCATCTTTTAGCAGTAAAGTATTTTTATTGAAATATGTACATTGTTTTTCTAGCATAATGTTATTGCACACTTAATAGACTGTAAACACAGCTATTATATGGGCTGGGAAATCAAAAATATGTGCAACTCGCTTTACTGAGATATTTACTTTATTGAAGTATTCTGAGAGGTATGCCTATATTATTATTTTTTAATTATTATTATTTTTAATATTCTATTTTATATATTTATATGTATTATAGTATTGTTAACCAAAATATTTCCTAGACATGACCCTACTTGTCATTTAAACTAAAACCAAATTAAAACTCACGATATTCCTTCAAGACATCAACACAATTGTTTGAAAAGTGAAAAGGTCAGTGGGTTAGCTAGTGATTTAGGGTTTAGGGTAAGAACTGTCAGACAGTTATTGATTGATTTTACCCCCACTGAATTGTTTAGATTTTCTAGTTAGGCCATTGAGTGTGCTCAGCCCTGACTATAGCGAAGGTACCAAGGATTTAAAGAGCTTCTATTCCTTCCGTGATATTTGCAGGGTGTGGTGCAGTTTAGTATTTGGACAATAAATGACCAAAACAATATATTACAGTCATTACACTTGGCCGTTTACAAAGCCCTTTTGCATACATTCTTTTTTTCTGAACCTTACAATAACCCTGGAATGAGAGCAAAACAGATTCATTCCTTGAAAGAAATGTATTGAGCACCCTTATGCACCAGGTGCTATCCTAGGCTCTGCAAGAGTCCTCAGTGAACAAAAGAAGCAAAAATCTCTGCCTTCATGGAGCTTCCATTTTAGCAGGGGAGAGAGTAAAATAAAACAATTGGATATTTGCTATAAAGAAAAATAAAACAAGGGAAGCGAATAGCGAATGTCAGAGAAGTGCTGTTTGATAATAGGCAATGTTATTGTCTTCATTTTCACAAATGCAAACAGTGTCCTCAGAGACATATATGGTTTTCCCCACGTGTCGCAACCTGTGAATTGCAGAACCAGGAAAGGTAGCTGCATGTCCTGCTTCAAAGTCCTCAGTCCTCATGCCCCTTTTGTGGTAATCGTAAAACGCTGATCGTCCAGTGCTTTTTCTCTGCCAAGGCTCTGATTTACATCTTCCCCTACCTCCCAGTTTTGCAAAGGTCATTTCTATTTAGTTCCTCGTTTGTTTGGGGGAATTAAAAGCAGCTTGAATTTTGGTTTTGTTTGAAAGTACCTGGTCAGACTCAGGAGCATGAAGAAATCTCATAAAAAATAAACATGTTTACAAATTCCAATGGAATGACCCATATACTTCAAGCAGTATTCAGCAAAGTCCAAAGATTCTACGTGAATCTAGCTATCTCTAGCCCAGTGAACTTTGTAATAACAAGGTTAGACTTCCATGTTGCTTTTGCCTCTAGGACATAAAAGTAAAAGAATCCATGTCTTTCAGAGTAGCCTTCACCAGAATTGTCTCCAACCCAGGGAATGATAAGCTAGTTAGTAATTGCATACTGAATAATTCCATTGTGACCAGCACCTATATACCACAGTGACAAATCCTCACATTTTTCTGTAGCTCTCTTGGTGACCTATCATTCTGAAAGTCTTCCTTCCTTCTTTGAGGACCATTCTTTTGGCCACTTTTCCTGAGGATTCACAATCAACAAATCAAGAGAAATTCTTACTATATTTATTTTCATAGTGGTCCTGCCCAATAACCTGAGTCTCAAATGAATACTTCAAATTCGAGTGTTTCAAAGAGGAAAGAAATAGCAATCTAGTCTATTTTATGTCCAATAAATATAGTCCAATCATTTACAGATTTTAAGGCTATGAACGCTGATAGAACTTTCCAGGAAGGTGTACAACAAGCATGTCACACTCGCACATGTACCCAGTTCTGCTGATTAAGTGAAAGGTTCCTCTCAGCCTCCACTGTTTTCAGTGAAAGAGAAAATCTCTTCTGATGGTTCCCAGAAAGGAAAATTTAAGAAAATTCTTTTTTTTTAATAGTATAGAAAGAAGAGCTGGTAAATTGTCGGCAGGCAGTCATAAAGTGATTTTACAGTAAAAGATGTGCTTTTTAGAAATTAGTTATTTTAGACAGCCCAGAGAAAAAACTTTGTTTTTGCCTTAATTTCCTGACCTAGGCTTTTGACTTTCCAGCTCTGGTACTGGGCCTGGATTATAAAAGGGCAGGGAGCCTTTGCATCAGAGCAGCTTCCAGGCCCCGCAGAGCATTGCTTTGGCTGGAATGTCTCTGGAAATCCCACAGGGCTCTCTGACGTCACCCCGCCTCTTCGGGTGTTTGGGTGTTCACATTGGGAGGAAAGGAGCGATAGCAAATGTGGGGGAATTTTTTATGTGCTTTGGCCTCACTTCAGTGATTATCAGGACAGCTAGTTGGCGGTTAGGGAGGCAGTTATGAGTAATGCTTAACATATTTAGCCCCTTTCAGGCCCTGCACTGAATAGGGCCTGACTGAGTGCAGGCATACATCAGAGATATTGCAGGTTTGGTTCTAGACCATAAAGCAAATATCATAATAAAGCAAGTATATGAGTTTTTTTGTTTTCCAGTGCATATAAAAGTTATATTTACACCCTGGCCGGGTGGCTCATGATTGGAGCGTTGTCCCATGCACCAAAAGGTAGTGTGTTCGATTCTTGGTCATGGCACACACCTAGGTTGCTGGTTCAATTCCCCGTCAGGGCTTATACGGGAGGCAACTGATCAATGTTTCTCTCTCTCTAAAAATCAAAATATATCCTCAGGCGAGGATTTTTTTAAAAGTTATATTTACACTATGCTGTAATGTATTAAGTGTGCAAGAGCATTATGCCTAAAACACAATGTATATACCTTAATTTTAAAAGACTTTATTGCCAAAAATGCTAGCCATCACTGGAGCCTTCAGGGAGTCATAATCTTTGTGCCGGTAAAGGGCCTTGCCTCGCTGTTCATGACAACGATCGTCTGCAAAGTGCAGTAAGATGAGGTGGTGACCGTAGCACCCCTCCCCAGTTCACACTGCTGCACATTTCTAGTGTTCACCTCCACATTTATTGAGGGCCCAATAGGCACGGGAGCTACTGTTAGAGAAGAAGGTCCTGTGCAGGAGGGGCACAGATGTGAGACAGACGAGGCGAACAGTGAGGTGAGGCCAGTGTGGTACACAAGTGGAGAGGGATCCGCAAGGTCCGTTCACCCCTCTTTAACGTAGAGGCTGCCACTTTCCCTCTCCTAGACTATCTTTCTAAGCACTTTCATGCTGACTGGGCCTTACTGTGAGACAGTGTGAGTAGTTCTTGAGGCCACACAGAAGCATCAAAGCTGAGCTCTGTTTGGTAATTGCCGGGTGCTCATTGCTCCTCCATGCTCTGACTCTGCATTGAAGAACAACTCACCACGTGCTGCCTGGTTTAACTGATAATGTTGCCTTTTCTTCCATCATACCAATTTATGCAACTCCCCATCCCGGGAAAGGCATCACAGGTTTTGGGTTCTGGTTCCAGTGCAACGTGGTGCATTGTCATGATAATCCTAACAGACACGGTGGTATTCCCCATGGAGCATCTGACACAGGCAGTCCCCCCGTGCTGTTAGGATGCCCAGTGGTACATCCTCTTTCCCTGTCACAGCCACCACTTAACCTGCACAGCCCCCTAGTCCAGGCACATTCTGCTGGCCGCCTGAAGTCCAGTTCTGATCTTTCCTTGAGATCCCAGGGTTAAAACTATTCATGAAGGCTCTGGTCCTTCATTTTTTTTCTGTAGTTTAAGGAAAGATGAGTTTAGCTTCCTGTGGCTATTTTCAGCAAGAAATTTCTTAGATCTAGAGATGGCAAGAAATAGTTCTTCCAGTTTGGCCTGACCAGATGACCTAGACTGACCTAAGCACAGCTTCAAGAATTTCATGATTCTTTGCACTTATGGCGCGGGCTGCTACTGATCATTTTTGCTAAGCCCTTAAAGAATTATTTGAAACATTTAAGCTATTGGAATGAGGCAAAGTCTGCATAAGGCAGCAAGAATGAGGAAAAAGCTTGAGTTCATTTTTTGACCAAATGTTATTGAGCATCTATAATATGTTAAGTGGCGTATTGTTCTACTAGAGTTAGAGCAGGGAATAAAACAGACAAAAAATGTGGAGTGTTTATTTCTAGGACACATAAAGAAAGGCAGTTGTACTTGTAGAATGTGAAATCCCTTGGGGAGCCATCTTTTGCTGGTGGTAAATGGAATATCAATTCTGTGTGCTTATTTCTGAAATGCCTGGAAGAGTTCTGTTATTTTAAATTTTCTTTGCCATCTCATTTGCTAACTTGCACCATCACTGAAGAAAAGATTTCCTGAAACACATCATTCTCAGCACGGTTTCTCTCTAAATTCTATAAACTTCCAAGTTAAAGGAAAATATTAGTGAAACTATTTAAATCTTTAAGCATATACATTTAGTAGAGACATAAATGTGTTTATTTTGTTTCAGTTTAAAGCAGCGGTTCTCAACCTGTGTGTCGCGACCCCTTTGGGGGTTGAACGACCCTTTCATAGGGGTTGCCTAAGACCATCGGAAAACACATAGATAATTACAAATTGTTTTTGTGATTAATCACTATGCTTTAATTATGTTCAATTTGTAACAATGAAAATACATCCTGCATATCAGATATTTACATTATGATTCATAACAGTAGCAAAATTACAGTTATGAAGTAGCAACAAAAATAATTTTATGGTTGGGGGTCACCACAACATGAGGAACTGTATTAAAGGGTCCGGCATTAGGAAGGTTGAGAACAACTGGTTTAAAGGAAACATTTCTCATTAACTGGCTAAAACTTGTTGTCATTCTCTTTTCTAACATATAACAAGGCCGAGTCCTATTATTTTGATTTCTACACAATTATGTAAGTCTCTTGTATTAACTTAAAAGTTTTAGTTCCATTTGTAAGGAACAAGAGTCACACTGGAAGCTAGTTCTTAAATAGCACCTCAATGTTCCCACTGTCAATTTTATCACAAAAGTAGAGATTATGAAAAGTAGAGATTATGGTTTGGAGCCTAAACTCATCTTCCTTTTCTTTCCTTAGTCGCCACACCCTTAGTGAAATTATTAAATGGGAGAGGCCATTTCTTTGAACAGTGTGCCCACACCCCTTCAGAAACTTCCTCTTGAGCTTTAGGGTGCCCAGGGTGATTGAACTCACCTGGAGAGGGTGATGGGAGCCATACATTACATTCTTTCCACAAATATTAGACATCAACAAAGAATTTTTTAAAATCAACTTGGTTGTGTATAATTGTTGCAGGAGGATTTACTAGGCCAGATTTCCCACTCATGAATGGGAATGGGGTTCTTGGGGTACTGCTGAAATATGCATTTTCAGAAGCCCCCAGGAGAGGATGGGATGTGGAAAAGGCCTTATTTGCATGAAGTTACTTTTCTTGGGTTCCAAAGTCCCCTGCCCTTAAGCCAGTCCTGGGAAAGGTGCAGCTGGGAGTTCAGCAAAGCCAAAAGTAAGGCCAGTGTCCAGAGCTTTCGTTCCATGTTGCTACTGGGTGTAGTTCAGCATCCAAGCTAATTAAACTCCAGGTTCAGTCCATTGTGTAGTCCAAGATGGCCATGAGGGAGCGCATCATCCCCTGCCACAGGAGAGCTCAGAACCCTGTGCACCAGAGAGAAAGAGAGTGAACTTCCTTTGGTTGGAATATTCAGGTTTTTCTGCACTGGCAGTGGCCACGCCCATCTGGCCACTGACTAGATTCCAGGTGTGACTGACAGGCAAGTGCCTTCCCACGTCACTCAGACCTTTCTGGGCATGCGTCTGTCCGGTCTTCCCTTTCCTCCTTTCCTGTTAAATAATAACCAGGTTATCACAATGGCATCATAATCATCAAAAACATGTCTTTTTCCATTTCCTTTGTAGCCCACAAGACGGTCTGCCAGATTGTCAGCGGTGAGTACTCTAGAACCCCCTGGTATTAGTTCCTCTGAGTTCATGTTCCCCGTGTCCAGAGCAGAGCAGCAGAAGGAAGATTGTTTCCCTTGAGTGTTTTATTTGCTTTTTGGAAATTATGTGGGTCACAATAATAGCAAATTCAACCATTGTTGCCAAGCAATTCCCTTGATCAGATGTGTCCGTGAAAAACAGTGCGCAGCCCCATTACCAAGAATATAAAGCACAGGAAGTTGTTTGGCATTGCTAGATTTCTGAAACAAAGGAAATATATTAAGCAAAATCGTAGCCTATGATGTGCTAAAGTGGACAAGAATTCTGATTCTCTGTCTACAATGCATACTTTAGTCAAAATGTTCTGAAAGTTATGGCTCCATATGCTTTAGCCTCATTTCAGAACTAGAGAATCTTTGAAAAAGTAATGAATCCACTTTGCCACCTGGAGTCTGTCTTTGTGGGCCAGGCCCAGGGAAGAGGTGAGGGTTAGATCATTAAAGCAGGGATGGCAGGTATGCCAGGCCCGGTGATGCACGCTCCCGCTCTTCTCACCACGCTGGGCTCCTCGCTGGCTCTTGTGCTCCTCCTTGTTGCTGCTGATTGGTGTCTGGTCTTCATTCTGCGAAGACAGGTCAGCCTGGCTCTCTGGTGGAGGATTTGGGTTAAAATACCAGCAGCCCACACTGCCCACTGAGATGGTAGGAGAAAGGCATTGACCTCAGCTGACAGCTTATATCCCCATATTAGATCGTACAGGAGCTGCAAGCTCCTTTGACCTTTGAGGAAGCATGGAATTCATCCTCCGCCAATACCCGTGCCTGGCACAGGTTAAGAAATCAAAGCAGAAATGTATATTAGGACCGGTCACAAATTCAGAAGTGTAACTGGGTTTGAGTTGAGTGAGCCAGTGTTTCACACGAGTCCCAGCCTAAGGAAGTGGTATCAGAGGGAGAGCTGGGAGGTGCGGTTGTGTGTGTACATAGTTATTCCAGATTCTCCCGAAACCCCTCAAAGATGGTGTGCTCTATCTCAGAGTAACTTTCAGCGAGGCTCAGAAGTGAGTTTAAACGCTCTTTAGCTTAACTATAGATTTTACTGAAAGCCATTGTATTCCATGGATCTCTAGCCCATTAAGGGGATGTAAGTCACATAATACCCAAATCTTAAAACAAGGCTTTTCCTGAGCACCAGGAACCGGCAATATAAGCACCTGCCACTGAGAATCAGCCTCGTCAGAGGCCAGTGGGGTTACAGACTGAAACCTCGTCATTTCCTGTCCCATCAAAACACGTGAATGCTGAGTCAGGGGGGGGAGGTGTCTTACAGAAATACTAGAAAGGGAAATTCTTTGCTGTAAATTGAGAAAACAAGTGTATATTAATACAATATATCAAAACTAAAAATAAAACTTAAAATCATGACAGTTTGGGGGCCATGCAAGCCGCTGTGTTTGGAGAACAGACACAGATTTAGAATGGTAAGAAGATGAATAAAAACATGCCTGACTTTTCAAGCTCAGTTTTCTTTTTTCATTGGAAAGGTCATGTCTAACAGCCAGCCTTCAGGAATTGAACTGTCTACAATTTTACTTTATGCCCTTGATGAAAAGGGCCGGATTCAATATGAACCTGAAGCACCTAGAGGCCTTGGGGAGGAACCTGTATTTTTCTCCACAGGGGGAGACCCTGGCCCGTGTTTTCTATTAAAAAACCATTCCCCCTAGTGCCAGGAGAGATGTACATGCATTTTTTCTAGCTGAATGAGAGAAATACTTTTCCTAAAATAGCTATAGAAAACTAGAGGTCTAAACTGGTTATTTTCCCCAGCGTCCTCATGTGCCACCCATTCTCAGGGCCCTGGAAAGCAGGCCGAGGCGGAAGCCCTGTGTGGAGGGGTCTATGGCCACAGAGCACCCCGGCACTGCTCACAGGAATGGGAAGGAGAACCATATGAGGCAACAGAAAAATAGTTGCCTCGTGGGCTCTCTGGTTAATACGATCTGTGAAAAATCTTAAACTTTGGGGGCTAACAGTAGACATTTCGTCATTACAATCATGTTCTTAATAGAAAGCTCCAGGGGCAAAATGAGCCAGCGTCTGGGTGGGCAAGAGATTCTGTTCACCTTGAGCTGGCATTGGAGACGATGAAAGTAAGAAGGTGCTACATCAGGGGTGAAAGGATTTGGAAATTATTTTGAAATACTTCCCAGGCAGCAGTCTTCATTACCGGATGGGCTTTGCCTGTGATTATGCTGTGACTTCTAGACTGTTGGGAAGGCTAGTGTGACTGAATTCATTGAGTCATTTGGACGAGAGCCTGAGTCATTCCTCCTGCTGCTGTGCTGTGATAAAAGGAAGTACCAGACATCAGAGATAGAAGCTTAACCTGTTCCCGGAGAAGAGCTATTCTGGACTCGGGAATAATGAGTCGGCTTTTAAATCTCACCTGCCGTTCACTTGAGGACCCAGATGAAAGTAGTTATGAAATTGCAGAGAGCTTTATGCTATTAGCTGATGCTGAAAATAGAACGAAATATTTTTTAAATGAACAAAATCATAGTCAAAATGCACTGTTGTCTTTTGTAGCCTTTTTGTGTTTTTCTGGTTTAGTTTTTTTGTTGGGTTTTTTTTGGGAGGGGAGGGGGGAGGGTTGTACTGAGGGTTGCCTTTGTCAGTATTGGCATAATTTAATTTATCTTTGCAGAAACCCGCTCCACCAAAACCTGAACCTAAAGCAAGAAAAACATCTGCTAAGGTAAGAGGTGCTCCCACTCCCACTTCGGCTTTTTAAACAATGAATAAATTATAATTTCATATCCAAAAGTCATCCAAGGAAAGATCACATTTAATGCTTTAGGCTAAAGGTACTGACTAAAAACCTGTTACCCCTGCTACAGGCTTTCTCAACAGGCATAAAGCACAGTTTAATGCTTTTACCAGGGATGTGTTTTCCATCTGGTCAGTAAAGCGAAGAAAGTCAGCGAACGATGCTCTGAGAAGCCTCATGTCCATGGGGGTTTGGTACTTCCTCAGGAGCGCGCTGTTCACACGGTGCTCAGAAGGGTGGGCCTGGCCGTGGGCAGTCCTACTGCCGAGAGCGGAGGACCTCGGGAAAGGGCTTCTGACTTCACATCACTGGTCTTAGTCAGCCAGTCTAACTCCTAATAATCACATGCTAACTAATACTAGCAAATAACTAACACCAGCAAACATTTATATGGCCCTTATACTAAGCCAGACCCTGTTCTGACTGCTTTTCTCATGTAACCCTCACATCAGTCCTACTGAGGTAGGTGCAAATAGCCGTGTTGCCGATGAGGAAACTGACGCACAGAAACTGACCCAAAGTGGCTTTTCTCTACTCTACTCTGCCCTTCAGAGCCTTGTCCCTTCTTGTGAATTGTTTTAAACTGTGTGCTGTGGTGTGAGTAGGTGATGCTGAAGCAGCACTCACTTCTGTGGCTTGGTCTTAAAACTAGGATCTGGGTCTTCATTTTCAAGTTCTCTCTCAGCTTTGTAGTCACTCAAGCCCATGTCCCCACATGAGGTGTTTCATGTGCTGGGTTCTTCCCTGGCTTTGCCTCATCCTTCACCAGCTGCTGCTGTTCTCTCCATGCCAGAACCACCTCCCACTTCATCAGGAGAGGAGGGCCACCAAACAAATACACGAGGGGAATCATCATGTTTTCGCAGAAGGGAAGGTCCAGCGGGCTCGAAGCAGCCTGTTACATGTTCAGAGACTCCACAGAACTCAGTTGGTGCCCAGAAAAACTGGGTTCCCATTTTCCCCCAAAAGCTACCGAGTTGGCCATGGTTGTGCTTTACCTTGTGTTTGGACGGAGACTGACTGACGTTAGCTGACAGCACACCATGTCTAACATACTCTGTGCTTTGATTCTCTGTTAGAAAGAACCTGGAACAAAGATTAACAAAGGTGCTAAAGGGAAGAAGGAGGAGAAGCAGGAAGCTGGAAAGGAAGGTACTGCACCATCTGAAAATGGTGAAACTAAAGCTGAAGAGGTACTTTGCATAAATACCTCCCACTGATTGAATCAGTGTCTTGAGAAATTGCTGGATCCTTCAGCTGCTGGTGGCATGTTCTTAATGTCTCTTTTCATTGCCTGTAATGTTATTGCAGATCCACATCTATCGCTCAACTGTTAGTGTCTCAACCTCCAGAGGTACCCCACCCAGCACACTGTCAGGAAAGGGGCAGATTGAAACAGTGAGAGTTAAGGGTACAGTAGAAAATTCTGCATGTGTGCAGTGACTAGAATTAGATAGTGGTGTGGTGCTGTTTCTTTGGAGCCGTGGGAGCTTGTAGGGAAAGCTTCTGCGGTTGTTTGAAAAGCAGAAAGCAATAAATACAGCAAAGTGTTTGCGTAATATATTCCTGCCTTGTCTGTCTCACACCCAGAGTTGAAATAGGTTTTGGGGTAGAGCTGCTAAAAAACAGATGTTCTAAAGTGTGTGTGTTGGCGGGGTGGACTTTTATTTGGCTTATAGTAGTTTTAATAGTAACTTTGGTTTTTTTCCCTTTTTCCCCCCACAGGCACAGAAAACTGAATCTGTAGATAACGAGGGAGAATGAATTGTCATGAAAAATTGGGGTTGATTTTATGTACCTCTTGGGACAACTTTTAAAAGCTATTTTTACCAAGTTTTTGTAAATGCTAATTTTTTAGAACTCAACTAGTTGGCATACAAAAATATATAAGGATGGACATTTTACCTTCTTATAATACATCTTTTTGGAGATTTCCATCATCCTCAAGTCAAATAAATTTAATATTGGAAGCTGTGTGTAAAATTGATTCAGCATTCCATGCATTCGCTTTAAAAACTTAGTCCTGTGCATACTGTGGTGTTTTTACTGTGCATATTTGAATTTTTCATGCAGTTTTTCTAGAGCAATAATCAGTGGTGCTTTTGTACCTAGGTCTATGTGATTTTAATGAAACATGGGTAGTTGTGGCCACCTGCTGACTATTTGTGGTTTAAAATAAAAAGGTGTTCTTGCCTGCAAAATACCTGCTTCTTAGTGTTTTCACTAAATTTAGGCAGTGTTTCATTTTTGCAGAAGATGTAAAGAATTTCTACAGTCTGTGCCCTGAGGGTATCTTTAATAAGTCAAGTAGGATTGTTTCTTAATTTTCTGGCATTTAAAAATGCCACTATTTTAATAAAGTCATCTGTGAGTGCCAGTGTGGAATCACATCTAAAACACTTCATACCAGAAGTGGCCTGCAATGATTACCATATATAAAACAATAAGACACCACTTTTTTTTGAAGTCCTTATAAACAGATAGTGTTCTGCTAAACCACAACTTGTGAAAAACCATAAACTCAGGATCATCCTTGAAAAGTCCCCACTTTCAAAATAATACTGAGTCACATTCTTTGAGGACTTCGCAGCTTTGAAAATACTTTACCCAGCGTGACCACATTTCAGCCTTGGAGCAGCCTGAGAAAGGAGTTGGCATAGGTATTATTAGAGCTCCTTTCTAGGCTAAGAAATAGGGACATGGAGAGTATGTGACTTACTTCAGGCCCATGGGAAGAAGAAAAAACAGAACTTGAACCTGGTCTTTTGAATTGTATACGTAGTGTCTATTTTAGTCTGTTCAAGCTGCTATAACAAAATATCACAGACTGGGTAGCTTATAAACAACAGAAATTTCTCTCTCACAGTTGTGGAGGCTGTAAGTCGAGATCAGTGTGCCATTCAGTAGGGTGAGGGTCCTCTTCCAGATCGCAGACTTCTCATTGTATCCTCAGGTGGCAGAAGGGGCCAGGGAGCCTCTGGGACCTCTTTCATAAGGGCATTAACCCCACTCACGAGAGTTCCACCCTCGTGACTTAGGCATCTCCCAAAGCCCCACTTCTACTACCATCATCTTTGAGTGGTAAGATTTCAGCATGAACTTTGGAGGGACACAAACATTCAGACCATAGCGATGGCCTTTTGTATCTGGAAGTCCATGGCTGTGTTGGGAACAGAGGAGCTATTTTATTACTGTAAATTTTTTTGTTCGCTTACATTTCCTGAGAAGTTTAGTAACTGCATGAGCACTCAGGGAAGCTGAATTCTGGGCATTCCTCTTAGATGAAGACCTCCTGAATTTTTAGGATGTGAATAGTGCCTGTGCTGCTCAGGGACTCTTGCCAAAAGGCTGTTGTTCCTCAGAGCCTCGGATGCTTTTCTGTTGTGGTTATCAACAAACACAGGCCCCTCCATCATGCTTGTATTTTGTGTCATTGTCCCTAATCTATAATCTACTGCAGATAACAACCTTAGTACACAGAATAATCTCATTCAAAGTTTCCTTTGCTTCTGATTAGGCAATGTACCTTAATTCATGAGTGTTATATGTACTGAAAACCACTTTACCCCCAAGAAAAAATAGCTGGTATCCTGTGAGCACTTCATAAAAATATTTTCAATAATTTTTGGTACATTGCTGGCTAGCTTCCAATTCAGAAGTGGAATATAAACTCCATAGACTTACTTTTTTAAAAATTATAAAGGTGCTACAGGTAGTTTTTTAAAGTATCAGACATTACAATAATAAATAAAGGGAAAAGTCAAAGTTTTCCTTTCCCCCACTCGTAAGTTCCAGAGGTAATCCCTGCACACCATTTTCTCTATGACTATGCATACCTGTGTATGCAGATATGCGCATACATAAACATGTACACATGATTTTTAAAGGAAGGAAATATACATCCTATCTAGAATTATTCAACCAATAAATTGTTCTTGGAGACAGATTTCAAATATTGCAATGCTGCCATTGAGACTGCAATAAACATTCTTGTGCACAAAGCTTTGCCTACTTATATATTTCTACTCAAATAATTTCCTAGAAGTGGAATGTCTGAAGCGGAATGTCAACGGGAAGGTACATTTGACTATTGCCAAAAGCATTGTGCCCATCCACTCTGTCAACAGCGTGCAAATGACATCTCTTCTTACCTTATTTTAGTCTCATAAATGAAAAATAATGCCTTACTATTTCAATTTTAAATATATTTTACCACAAGTAAAATGAGTTTTTCATATATTTAATGGTCATTTGAATTTCTTCTGTGAATTGTGATTTTTTTCCCCCTATTTTTTTTACTGGGAAGTCGCTGTTTTAAATCATTATTATTTACAGTGTCCATTGATGCCATTACTTTTATTTCAAACATGGGTTCTGCAGGCCATGGATGTGTATCTATTAAAATGTATGGGTATTATTACCACATTGACAAAACAAGGGACTACTTTAAAGCAGACAGCTACCAAAATAACCCAGAACTTGAAAACTTGATGGATGTACTTACTGCAAACACATAGAAGGTGGGAGGTACCCATTACTGCCACACTGCTACCCCTTCGGTGGATTTATGCAGGCTAGGAAAAGGATCCCCTTCTCCAAACATGTGTGTTCATTTGCTGGAAAATTGTAATAGCCCTTTGCATCTATAATGACTTTGAGTTACATGGCACCCCTGTAGTTAAACAGTGAACTGCTTGTACAATCATAGGTGATGTCCTCAAATCCTTCCTGGAGACTGCCCCACAGATTGTGGTGGAGTAAGAGGGGCTTTGAGAGGCAAATGCCCTGAAATTCCTATTTTTAAATTCTGTGAAAAGATAATCTGAACCGAAAGTCAAGACCCTTGGTCCAACTTTAGTGAACTGTCCCATAAAATTTTGAATGTACATTTACATAGTTAAGGAGTTTGAAACAGGTCATGGAAAAAAGATTTTCCTTGTCCTAAATTTTTAGAGGACGTCACTCTTTTAAAAAAAAATATTTTTATTGATTTCAGGGAGGAAGAGAGAGGGAGAGAGAGATAGAAACATCAATAATGAGAGAGCGTGATTGATCAGCTGCCCCCTGCACACCCCATACTGGGGGTTGAGACTGCAACCTAGGCATGTGCTCTGACCAGGAATCGTACCGTGATTCCTGGTTCATAGGTCAATGTTCAACCACTGGGCCACACTGGCTAGGCAAGGACTTCACTCTTGATTAGAGGTACAGTGCTGTTCCTTAGGTTGCCAATCCTAACAGGCATGGGAGGTTGTCTCAACTTCTCAAATAGTATAAGAGCCATTACTTAAGCCTAACCTCTTCCACAGTAAATCCTTCTTGTACCTCTAATGGAGTCCATTTTAGAAAGATGCTAGCCACAAACCCACAAGAAACTAAATAACTTAACTTATTGAATGGCTTTTTAAGTATTATTCACTTGGTTGTTATAGAGTACCAACAAATGACAGTTTGGACTTGGTATAAAGAAAGCGTAGTTGTACTTCCAGGAAATAATTGGTCCTGAGTATTTCCTGTGGCTCTTACACAGCTGTCTTTTTTCCAGTCTGTCACAAAATGACCTGTGGAATTTGAATGACTTGGCAGGTAAAACAGAATTTGAGGGGAGTAGAGGATGGGAGGAAGGGGGTCTCAGAGTTGGGAATCACAGAACTGGGATAGACCTTTGTGAGTATCTGATGTCCTTTCCTTCTTAGAGGCGAGTCTCCTTTGAATTCCAAAAGATTTGTTTTTTTCCCCTGAGAAATTTTCCAGGTCTTCTAATAGTAGGCTCTAAATCAGGATAAGGTGATTTAAAAATATGCATTCACTCTTTTTGATGGAATTCAATTTGAGAAATGGGTAATGACTAGTACTCTTAAAAACTGGTTTATTCAGCACATACTGAAAGGGCGAGGGCTACGCCCTCCATCTTGCCCCAGGGTAAGTGCTACACCCTCCATCTTACCTTGGCCATGTGCTTGGCAAGGAGCTTCTTCCCGGAAGTCTAAGCCTCTGCTAGCCACACGCAGGAACAAGACACCGACTTGCGCCTGGCCAATCAGCAAGGCCCACAGCCCTTTCTCCTCCCCTTACTTCAACCCCCTATAAAACCGCTCTCCACACAGAGTTCTCTCTCTCTGCTTCCTGCTGTTGCGTCGGCGAGGTGGGGGAGCCGAGCTAGCTCGAATAAAGACTCTTATGCTTTTGCATCGGACCTGGCTGGCTCCCTGGTGTGGTTTCTTGGGGATCCTGAAATCTGGGCATAACATTTGGGGGCTCGTCCGGGATTCCCAAGACCATCGAGGGACGCCCCCATCCGAAGAGTCTGACTGACCGCGGTAGGTGTCTGTGTCGTTGTGTGTTCTGTTCTGTGTGAGCTCGTTTCTGCAATCTGTAAGTGCCTGAGGGGTCTAGGCGGACGCGCCGTGAAAGACCACAGGCGGGGGAGAGTTGGAAGACGTTCTGCTCCCCTGGAGGGATGTGTATTCCCCTCACAGATTTGAGACGAGGCGGGTCACTCCCGCCGGTTTGGCGTAAGGCCATTGTCTAGTTGCTTCCATGGAGTTGGAAGGATGTTCTTTGGGGCCCTCTGTTTGTCTGTGTCTGTGTTTTTCTGTTTTCTGTGGACTTACTGGACGGATGTTATGGGACGGACTCAGACTGCTCCTTTGGGTATTGTGATTGATCATTTCAAGGAGATTGGGGGAGGCTGTAGAGCT